CATTGCCACCGAAGGCATTTTGTGAGCATGTTGAAAGAATGGGCGTTATTGGAAACTGTTAACATTATGTTAAGATTGTGTTTTAAAATATTTGATACTTAGAGCTCAAATATAGTTTCGTTTCTGTATTAAAGTATCTTGTTTAGTTTATGAAGTATATATACATGAATGTTTTATTATGTTAATATAAACAGGATTTGTCTTTGATAAAGACATTATCGTGGACCATTATGAAAAGTTCATTATAAATCATATTGAGTTTGAAATTAATATTGTGATACATGGAAGGGACTGCGTTAAATTAGTGACGTATTACCGCCATGATTCTTATTAATTTCTAACTTAACGATGACTTATGTTCTGACCAATATAACGAAGGAATTAACTTATACTGTGCATATTATGTTTCAAGTTCATTATTAAATTTATGACTTATGAGCCAAGTGGGAGAATGTTAGAATAATTATTATTATTATTATTATTATTATTATTCTATGGCTCATAATTAAATATTTATTAATATTTAATAATGAAGATAATTTCTGTGATTGGCCAGTTAAGAAGATAAGAATGCAGTTTCAACTGCATATCATCAGGTTTACGTTGATGGAACGTATTATTTATATTTCATATATATATGAGACTCTGGTCCTCTCCCCAACCTATCTAAGAACTAAAACTCTTCATCAGAGAATTAGATTAAGTGAATGCTAAAGGTTTGGAGAGAGAAACCAAGTTTCTAACTCAAGCAACTACGGAAAAACAATGGAGCCAGGTATGTTCCCTGAAAACTATTTTACTGTATGTGAAAAACATGTGTTCTGAAGATCTTGTATTAAGTAGGTATGACTTACAGGCCAATCAACCAATCTCAACTTAAGAGAATATAGATTAATTGAAAGTGAAAGATTAGAAAGAGGTAAACTAAAGTGTAAATTTGTATATTCCATTTTGCATGTTTGTAATTGTAGTTGTAAGTTATAACTAAACTAGTATGTCACCTATGCGATGCATGGACTAAATATTTGAAATATTAAAATTATGTATGTTATTAAAAATATATTATTAAATTTCATATATAAAAAAGTGAATACGAAATTTATTCTTTTATAAATTTTTGTATTTAAAATAAAAATTGATATTTAAGCTAGATAATTACTAATAAGAATTAATGTAATATTTGGTCATTTGTGGTCATTCGAGTATATTGATTTTGCTGCGTTTAGTTCTAAACTTTCAAATTGATGACCCGTGATCTTTCGACTTTCAAATTGTATTGATATGTGATCCACGACATAAATTTTAAATATGAAAAAACGACACTTTTAGCCCCTGAATTGTTTTACTTTTTGAAATTTGATCCCTATCAATTGATTTGAACAAATTTAATCCTTCAATTGTCCAAAGTATGTCACATTTTATCCCTGAAATTATATAATTACAAATTCTATTAATAAATATTTTTATGAAGCTATATTTGTCAATTTAGAAGCTTCCCTCTCTATAGCTACTGCTACCCAGAATGTTTTACATGAATTCAAACACCATCACTATACTGGTGTACGACCCAGTTGTTGGTTCTTGAAAAACACAACAAAATTTATTTTTTATCAAATAAATATTCTTACTGTGGTGTATCTATTCCATTCATGGGAAGAGATTAGATGCATTGCATACATGCAAATCACTTTCTGCATTGGTGCATAGATAGGATTCTTAGTTCCTGCCACTCCATCTCTAAGCTGCTTTCTATATAGAAAGGAGTTCCGGGGCACAACCTATAGATATTTCATAAATATTGAATCATCATTTAAATTTATATTCATTGAATCACCTGTGAAACATTGAAACTCCACCAAAATAGCTCCTGTAATTTATCCTTCTTTTTTATTTAGTTTAGTTTCATCACTTTATACTTTCTATTGTTTTACACCTAAATAATAGTGTTTCACATCTCTTGGCACATGATGAAATTGAATTCTGATGCTATCTACAGACTACTGATGAAGTTCTCTCTACCGAAAAGCAGAATGCTTACCTTGATTTTTGAAGGAGTAGTGTGTATCACCTGCACATTTTTGCTCATTTATTGTCTTGATCTCAACGTTCGCAATAGGTTTTTCATAGTGTTAGAGACTTAGTGGCTGCAAACAAATTGAAATATATATAAGCGTAGCACACAGTGATGTTGAAACTGACGTTGTAACACAAACGATCTGTAATGCAGTTCGGGCAAACAATCCTAATCTGCGAGGCACTTCTCAATTTGAGAATTTGCCTAAATTCACTAAAAGCTTAATATTTAAAGTACACTATTTGGAACCTGAGACTACACAATAGAATGATCTATCTTTCCTACCAAACTATTGAAACCTAAACACATGTACTACTTTCTAGGGGAATTTAGTATCCTATTCTCAAAGACTCTCGTATCTCACATGTTGAATGCTTGGGTTCTGTGATAAAAGGACAACCCTATTTATAGTAGCTACTTCTAACAGATTTGTGAATAATAATGCTATTCCTAATCAAACTAGAACTAGAAGATCTTCAATAACAATTCCTCTTAGAACTAGTATTCTTCCATATCAATTCCTTTTAGGACAGTATTCCTTCATAGAACTGGAATCCTTTTTGCACATAAATTTGACAAGGTCTTTGAGTCAACACAAATGATTTCAAAATCTTACCAAGACAAAGTGACAAATAAGAATTTTGTATTTTGATTTCTACTTTTGCATCAAAGTCCATACTATTATTTTTTGGTGGATTCCCTGTAGATAATTACATAGCATTGGATATCAATTTTGGTATATACTGACCATTAAAATATAATTTTTTTTTTATGCAGAATAATGTAGAGAATGACATGTACCTCTTCATCACGGAAGGTTTACAACTTCTCTTCTTTTGATTTCAGAGGAACCTTTCCTCGCTTTTATTTTTGAAGGTTGATAAATCACCGACAAGAACGTACAAACTCAATCTGGAAAAGAACTCTTAAGTTCAAAGGAATTTTTGGATTTGCTATTCATTCCTTCGCTAATTATCTCTGTTTTATATATGCAGAATTGAAGTTGATTTAGCATAATTGAAGTTAGGATATTTGATGAAATTAATTATTATAATATTATATTTGGTAAATTGGCAATGATTTTTTATAATTGATTTAACATTTTTGTAATTATGTATATAAAGTAAAGTATATGTAAAATAAATTAGCAGAATTGAACTAATTTGAATTAATTATTATAATATTATATTTGATAAATTGGCAATGATTTTTGTATAATTGATTTAGTATTTTTGTAATTATGTATATAAAGTATAAGTAAAATAAATTAGCAGAATTGAAAGAATTGAACTAATTTGAATTTTTGGGGTGAAAATTTTTGGGAATGAAATTAATTATTATAATATTATATTTGGTAAATTGGCAATGATTTTTGTATAATTGATTTAGCATTTTTGTAATTATGTATATAAAGTATATGTAAAATAAATTAGTAGAATTCAACTAAATTTTTGGGATGAAAATTTTTGGGGAGAAACTCATTTTGCTTTAATATATATAGAGATAGATATAGAGATTAGTAAATTGTCAATTTGCTATGTATGCAGTATGCTCGAGAAAATTACCGATTTGGTCCTTCGACTATGAGGATTTCACCAATTTGGTCCTCGACTACCAAAATTACTCAATTTGGTCCTCGATTATGACATTTTTACCCGATTTGGTCCTAAAGTCAAACCAGTGTGATTAAGGCAATAAATTTGAGGATATTTTTGTAATTGCACATTATGTCATTTTTTGGCTATCCAAGTTTATCCCACACTTTACCTTCAGACAAACATAAAAAACTTCTTAGTGTAAATAAAAAACCCTAATCGCACAATCCAGTCAAAAATTGGAATAATGAGTTGAGAAATCATCTGGAATGCTTCAATATTTAAATCCACTACACAGTGGTCAAAGTCTCATTTCTCTAGTGTAGCGGATTTAGATGTTGAAGCATTCCAGATGATTTCTCAACTCATTATTCAAATTTTTGACTGGATTGTGCGATTAGGGTTTTTTGTTTACACTAAGAAGTTTTTTGTTTGTCTGAAGGCAAAGGAAGGCAAAACGTGTGATAAACTTGGACAACCGAAAAAGGACATAATGTGCAATTACAAAAATATCCTCATATTTATTACCTCAATCACACTGGTTTGACTTTAGGACCAAATCGGGTAAAAATGTCATAGTCGAGGACCAAATCAGGTAAAATGTCATAGTCGAGGATCAAATTGAGTAATTTTGATAGTCGAGGACCAAATTGGTGAAATCCTCATAGTCGAGGGACCAAATCGGTAATTTTCTCCAGTATGCTTGTAGTAGTCAGTAACTTGGAATTTGTTTCAAAATTTGTAATTTCAAATTTTCTTTTTCCAAATTTTAATTATCCAATCTATTTTCGAATATACGACGAATTTACAAAAATAATTTCACAAATTAGGAGTTCAAAACACAAACCAAAATTTGATCAAACAGTCTTTCCGTCCGCCTGAATTGTTAGAACCAGACCGATGCTCTAGCCTAATCATATGTAATAATATTATCATACACTATGTTCATAATATTTGTTATATATATATATATATATATATATATATATATATATATATATATATATATATTATATTCATAGATCTAAACCTTAATATCCATAAATATTAAATTGAATGCATTTCATATGTATTTACATTCACTCTAGCTATAATAGGTTCAATTCATAACGTTCCTTCTACGTCTTATTCTGCAATTCAATCCTTACTATGTTCAATTGTAGCATTGGCGACTTGTGTTCGATCAATTAGGACTTCTTCTATGTTTCCAAATATGCAAAGCTAATAACCACAAAGCTACCTTTGAACTAAATAAATAATATTCTCTTGCATATTAAAAGATTGGCAGTCTGATATAGACCAATGTTGTCTTTCTCTACCAACAAATGTTGTTCAGTAACTTAATATATCACAGGGGAACAAACAATTAATTAACCTTAAATCCAAGTACAGTTGTGACAGTACCTTCAAACCTAGTAAGCAATCCCATAAACCATTACACACTACAGAACTTACATACTAAAGAGACATCTTAATTATTATATGTAAACAATTTCTGCTTTTGTAGAGGCACAAGGGAAACGTAAAAGTTCCTGCATAATTTCGAATTCTTTATCGGGGCTAATCCAACCTCGAGCAATGACAACCTTCTCAATTCTTGGAAAGCAAGCAAGTAACACCTTGATAGATTGCATTTCAGACCTCATCCCAATAAAATGGCTAAACTTCAAAGTGCGAAGCATTTTCTGTGTTTGAGCCACACTACTAAGTTCCTCCATAAGCACAAAATCCTCTGGATTTAACTTCAAAAACTAATAACAGAACATAAAATTAAATAATCAATCAGGTCATAATTTGCATAACAAATTTGCATTTAGAAATGCAACAATAATGGAATCAATCAGAATTTTACTGAGTAGTTCATCCATATATATATATATATATATATATGTGTGTGTGTGTGTGTGTGTGTGTGTGTGTGTGTGAAGATCACCTTCACACGCCGTATATCTAGTTCGCATAATTTCGGACATGCCCGCATCAGTTGTATGAATGGATTTATATCATCTCGCAAACAGCTAGCAGTTGATATACACAGCTTGAGGTGTTCAACGTTTAGTGCAAACGGTTGTCCCACTGTATTAAGTTCTTCAATAAACATCTTGGAAATCGAGAGAAACACAATTAGATCAATTCCTAAAAAATATTTTATAAAAACATAAGTACATAAAAAATGGTGAAGGTAATATACCTCAAGGTAACGAACGGGACATTTCAAATCAAGACTTGAGATACATCCCAAGTCGAAGTTAGGCAACATAACCTTGGGGTTATGCCAACTCCAGTAGTCAAATGATACAACTAAACTACAACGTTTAGGAGCAGCAACAATGTTAAAATAAAATATGTTTTCACAATTACGAAATGAGAGATCCTCTAGCATAGGAAGATAAACAACATAATCCGAACAATTTTCATGCACAAATTCAACATATTCAAGATTAAGTGATGTAACATTCGGAAGTACATAGGCATTTGCTAGTTCAACAACGACATTAGAAAGTTTCAATCTCTTCAGTGTTGGGCAAGAAAATATCCAATTCGGCACCAGGTATCCTGAATCTTCAAAACAAGAAATGTCAATTTCTTCAACACCATTCTGGTTGAGAAGAAGAAACCACTGATTCATGTTGTCCTCCAACAAATTATCTATATCCTCTGAGAAAGGGAAATCCACTATTTCTCTAGAGAAATCGAAGACAATTTTGTGAATAGATCCATTGTGCCGCATGAGAATTTTGTTGACTACTTCAAAAATAGGAGATTCCGAATCCGGACCTTCAGCATCGGAATATTTAAGACATATGTAAGCCAGAAGGAAGATAAAATTGCAGCTCTAGCAGCTTCTTGAATTGGCAAAAATCCCATAATATTGTCAAGTATATCGGCCAGGAGTTCACTAATTCTGTCTTTTTTCGCCATAATTCCGATAACTCTGACAAGCACAAAATGAAAAACGAAGAAATGAGAACATAGTTCTATAAAATCTGAATCGGCAAACCTAGTGCTTCTCTGAAATCAGAACATAATATGAATTGAAAACAAACCTAGTGCTTCTTGAATTGGCAAAAACGAAGAAATCAGATGTTACTCACAATTTACTTGTAATGAAGGGACAATTTGAGAGGAAAGGATTAAGGTAGTGTGTAGAGTGGGAGAGTGATAAGGGCGGCCAAGAATCAGCTGATAGATGCAATGGAATTGAAGCTTCAATTCTGCGGCTTTTAAAATCCCAAGGGATGGGAGTTATTGCGCTTAGCTTCCTTGTGCATCTCACAAATCACAACATGTCTTCACGGAGTACAATTCTTGTCCTTGTCACATGTATCATCTCATATGTTATCCTATGTATCTTCCGAACCGTAATTGATGATTCATGGTTTGCTAAAATAAAAAATCTTAACCATAACTGCTAGTTCAAACTTTAATTGTAATCTCTTATACAATTTAGAACTGGGTTGTAGGCCTGCAAACATGCCGAGCCAAGCTCAATAAAAATATGATGGATCAAGCTCAAGCTCAAGCTCGATCGAACCTTAAAATTGAAGCTTGAACTCGCCAAATTTTTATATAGCTAAGCTCGGCTCAATTGGCTCGAGTGTACGAGTTCGAACTATCTAATACAATCTGTCATTGCACTCAAACTCAAATTATTGAAAGATGCAACTTCAACATCCCTACACCACGCCACATCTAATCTCTCAGTAACAAAAATGCAGTAAATTAATAGATAAATTTTTTTTAAAAAAAAGGACAGTTAAGGATTGGGAATAAACAGAGAAAGAAAATGGCAGCTCTTCTGCACTACAGAGAAAGAAAATCGACGATGGAGTGAGGGAGGGAGGCAGCTATCCATAATTTCAACGAAAAAGACTTACCCAAATTCGCAGATTCGTAGGGTCGTCGGAGTGTTTGGCAGAGTCGCTCAGTCGTTCTTCTGGTCACTAGGGATTTAGGGATTTTAAAATTAAGATTTTAGAATTTAGGAATTTAGATTTTTAAGGATTCAGAGTTTGAGGGTTGAATTTTTAATTTTTAATTGTTAAAGGGTAGTTTTGTAAATATTATAAATGATCATTTGACTATTGGATTATTATTCTTTTTAGTCATGAACTCTTCATTCGTTAAAAACATGTGTTTTGACTTTTATTTTTATCACAAATTAGTATTTTTACTTGTGCATTGCGCGGAATGGATTTGTATTGTTATAATATTTTAAGAATATATGAAACGATATACAATTGTATAAATTATAACATCGAATATTATTATTATATAATGCAATTGAAAAATTGAGTTAGATCGATTATGTTTTCTGATGTTATCATTGCTTGAATTCAAGCAAATAATTGTTCAATTAATAGCTAACATGTAGATATACGCATCAGGTGCTTAAACTTTGAGATTTTATATATCAGTGTTTATGATTTGTATTAATTGGACTAATTAGCTCGTTGTCTAGCAACTCAGTTATACAAAATATTTGTACGGAAGATATATATTTTCTATGTAGATATATAACAATTTTATCACCTTTGTATAAAAAGAAAACATAATATCACTGGTTTGAATTACACATTATTAAAACATCTTTGTAGACGACATTGGTAGTAGTAACAGATTTTTGTCCATCCTCGTGTAGAGCTAAAACCTTCAAGCCATCAGGATGGGTGATTCGGGAAAAAGTCACGTACACCTAAAGGGTAATCTCGTATCAGAATGGGTGAGAAACATTCGAGGGATAAGAACTTTGGTTCCTTGATGTGTCTCATTAACCAAGAATCACTTGATTTGGACATTCCTAGGCTGAGATATGATAAAAAAATCGAACATTGTCCGAAATGAGCAAAAATTACAATGTCTTGATATTTTGCTCCCCTTTTGTTTTGATTTGCCTAAGTGACCAAAACCATTGAATAAACCACTCTTAGGATCCTTTGGAAGTGTTTTGTTCATCCTCTTAGCTTCAACTTGGCTCCCACGGACTCCTAATGCATCCTAAATGCTTCATTTGACTCTAATGTCCACCAAATAAAATGCCTGAAAATACTCATCTTTGTTTCTAAACTTGCAAAATAACATAATTTAATCATAATCTCATGAAATTTGGAATGATCTATAAGCAAAATGACTTAGTGAAAGTGGAGAAAATATAGACAAATAAGCACTTATCAATAATTTTTTTTTTTTTAAATAAGTGGGAAGATAGATGTTAAAGTATATATTTGTTAATCATGATTTTTTATCTTAATATGTTCTAAGTAGCAAAATTAGTAAATTCTAGTTCTAGTATCACCATATTAAGGTTTTTTTTTTTTTTTTTTAAGTAGTTACGGCAATAAAAAAATTCTATCTACCTTCTTCTCTCATTTTAAATAAACATCAAGATCTCTCTTACCCGTAAAGTTAAAAATAGGTGCGTTAATGTTCTCAATATCATCATCTTCCTCATCGATCTCTATCCCTCCTATATCCTCTATTACCTCTTCTTCTCCTCCATTCCCTCACTTGTACTACCCTCATCCCTTCTCCCATTAGTTCTCACATTCACCCTCTCAATTTGCCTCTATGTTGACCTTAATTTTAATGATTTGGTCTCCTATCTCCATCCATTCTCTCTATTCGTGTTCAACCCCTCAATCACATTGGTCATTTTAACAAATTGTCCCTTAATCACTCTCATCATGAGGCGCATGTCAGATTTAGAGTGTGTTTGGTTTGCACATGGGAATTGAAATTGAAATGAGAATGAAATACTTGATAATGGTAATGAATTTTGGTGAAAGTATTTTGTATGATTGATAGTAGTGTGCGTGAAATTTGAATGATTACCAATATTGATGTTTAGTTGTGTATGACCCTATGATGAGAATAAATATTTAAAAAACAAAAATATAAAAAATCAAGCTAAGGAAATTATTGATTGTGTTTATTTGTGTGCATTTCCAAGTGAACCTACCAAAACTATTCATGTATCGAAAAATGATTTATGTTCTACTTTGAAGTTCTCTTTAAAAACTCAAAAAATGATTTCTTGAGTTTTTCAATATTTAGATACATAAGGAAAATGAAGTCAAAGGAAAATATTTATTTTAGTCAATAAAAAGTTAAATTTAGCAGAAAATGTCTTTCTTTTTTTTTTTTTTTTTTTTTTTTTTTTGAATTCTTTATTTTTCATCTATCTTTCCTATCTTCTTTTTAAGTTAGTTTCTTAACTATTATTATTACCACTACAATCACAATTACCATCATACCACAACACAACCACACCATCACGGCAACCAACACCACCACCACCAAAACCATCACACCACGCCTTGTTGCAGATCATGGCAATAATACAGACGATCAAAGTTTAATTTTTTCAGCGTTGACAATTGATTGATTCATGCACACCCCGAGTCAATTAGCAGTGTCCAACGGCTACGACCACAGTTGCCATTGATTCGTCGTCCACAACAATTTATCACAAAATTCGGCGAGAAAATTTTTCCAGATCTAGCTTAAAGAAAATCAGGCCACACCCACCAAGAGAAAGGAGATGGCATGGAGGAGGACTATATGCGGAAGAACCCCTCTAAAATTCACAAATGGGTTGCTCAAATAAGTTGGCACGTGGGATTTGACCTTCCTACTGATCCAAAAAGGAAAAAAACAAACCAAAAAAAAAATAAAAAAAAAAAAAACAAACAAACATAGAGTTATATTTTGAAACCATATATATATTGGAGTAGATTTTTAGTATTAATAAAATACATTTAAAATTTTGCGTTATACACTCAAATATTTCAGTAGAAGGATTCTAAGTATTATATTCGAATAGAATGCGTGTACAGAGTAAATATAAAGAAAAGAGTTACAGTAGAGAAATATCAATATTACTAGTATATTTTATGCGCGATGTGCAAAAAATAGGTGCCCAATATTAATACATTATATTAAAATTTTAAATTTATTTAGATTTTAGATATTTAAATTATTCTAAATAATAATAATAATAATAATAATAATAATAATGTAAATCATTTTTATAAATTTGATATTTATATTTTATGTAATAATTAACATATAACTCAAATATATAATGGGTGGAAGATTGGGAGTTCGAGCCTCAGTGGAGGCGTTATTGGTTCTTTGTGTTTTAGTAGGTTGAGAAAGTATATGAACAGATACTACATTGTAATAGAGCCAGTAGCATTAAAAAAAACATATAACTCAAATATATAATGGGTATATATTATTATTACTGAAGAAGATAAGAAAATATATGGTGGATGCATGTGCATGATAACAATAGTGGAAAAGATAACGGAAGTTATAATGGTAGGGGTATGTTTGTCCAAAATATTTTAGTGTACAACCTTTATAGCATAATGTACAAAAAAAACTTAACGAAAAAAACGGACATAAATCAGGGGTATAACTTTCATTCACACTTATTATGTTTTTAGATTATTCAAATTTAAAACATAAAAGTAATATAATATCAAGTTGTGATTACTCGCTCTATGCATCACTTTGGTCACACTCCTACTCTCTTTCTCCTCCTTTCTCCTGATCTTTTTAGTTTAGCACACATGGCATCAAATTTCCTCATCCCGGCATGTACAACTAATTTGAATTTATTCCAAGTCTCATTCACAAAGTTAATTGGACTCACGCATACCATATGCCTCTGTCAATCATTTCAATAAACAAGAAAATGGATTTAGTAGGACGTACTCTTGACACACCAAAAGCATTTTGCATGTTTTGTCTAGAATGTGTTCAATGCAAACTAAGTAATAGAATATAACATTTTTCTTTAAAATATAATCCTAACTCTATTATGTTACCACCAAAAAAAAAAAAGTGATTTGTACACATATCATTAGAGAAACAATATGAAGGACACAAGATGTATAAACCCATGTTTTGATGAAAGGTTTTATATGACTGACTCATAATATAAATCAATCTTGTATTCATTATTGTACAAACATGCCAATTTAAACACCAAGTCAAAATGATAATGAGAAAATTAAAGTGAAGAATTAAGTAAGTTAATTTCAGTTACAATTTATCTCGACATTGAGTTGCTCGTTTCCTATATCCCGTGCAGATTCCTCAATGTCCTTCACCCAACTTTTAACAGTGGAATTGCAATACTTCACAACGATCCTTTTCAGTGTAAAAACATCATCAAAACTAGAACGCGTCAGCCGTAAGGTGTCACAGAATTCCAAATGCAATTGCTCAAGGCAAGGAAAGGACTCAGCAGCAGAACTAATATTCCAAATTTCAATATAAAAAAAAAAACTAATTGGAGGATTTTTGAGTTTGGGGAATTTGGTTTCCTCCTCCACAATCCATTCTAGTCTTCAAACTTGCAATGGACTAGTATTAGATTCTCAAGATTGGGAAGTTGTGCAATTGTTGAAATTGCAGACACCGAAAGAGTAATACCTTGCAAATATATTTCCTTAATACTTGATGGAAACTTGCTGAGTGGAAAACTTCCATAATCACCGCATAACTGAAGAGTTTCAAGATGATGGAGAAAGTCAATTTCAGGAAAGCCTTCATACCTTGAGACCACACAACTCAATTTTTTTTAGATATGGAAGCCTTCTCAATAAATCTTCATGCATTGTAGTAAGAATACATGACGATTCCCAGGTTTGCAATTCTTTTGAACAAGCAGAAATTGCTTCAATCATAACTGATCTTGTTTTCTCCATGCATGACTTATTGCAACTGCCACTACTAAAAATAATCATATGTCTCAATGTACTCATATTCCCAAAAAAAAAAAAAAAAAAAATTGGCAAATGCACCTTATTTGATTGCAACTTTAATGTTATGAGACACTTAAGATTCCGTAGTAATAATGGTGAGACATCTGTAAACACAAAAAAGCAAACTTTGTATATATTCACAAAATTCCGTGTACAGCGTGTGTATAATTTAATGCAGGTACAAAATCTCTGTCTAGTCCTCTGATTCTTCACTGACGTTATCTATCGAAGTGCCTCGGGATTCAAGTAGCGTAGCCTCCGGGATTCAATTGGCGCGTGCCTCCGGGATTCAAGTAGCGTAGCTTCCGGGATTCAAGTGGCGTAACTTCCAACAACGAGGGTCAAGAATTTAGAAGTAATCAACCCTGCAAAGTTTCAAAACACATGCAATGGATTCAAGCTGCTTTAAGATCCTCAAATGTCTTCAAAAGACGTCAAGATCTTCGAGACAATCAATTCTGCAAAGCTCCAAAGTACCTGCAATGGATTCAAATTGCCTGCAAAATCAACAAAAATACCTTCAAATCTTCAAGCGTTCTTCAATGCCTTCAAGCTCTTCAAATGCTCTCAACTCCTTAAGTCTTCAAGCTTTTCAAGCTTTCAAGTGTGTTTTGGAATGAAAACGAAGGCCCTATTTATACTAAAAGCTTAACCAAAATTCCTCAACCTACTCCCCTTTTTAGTTAATTAATTAATTAATTAATTAATTAGGAAAATGAACCTTGTCCAAGATCAAGTCTAGGTTCATTATCGTATAATCAAATTCAAATTCAAATTAAATTGTAATTATCTAATTCAAATATAATAAAATTAATATTATATTTAAATTATAATTATAATTTAAATTCAAATATGAAATGGGCTTGGGCCAACTAATTAATTAATTCAATGGCCCAAATCAAATCTAATTGGGTTAATTAAATTAAATTAATTTCCATGATCCACTTTCAAAAAAATTTCCATGATCCAATTAATCTGTTGGTCCCGATAGGGTGGTGAAAATCTAGAGGGGGGGGGGGTGAATAGACTTTCAAGCTTTTTCAAATTAAATAACTCTTTGGTAACTTTAACTCTAAGTAACAAGTAAATAGAGTAAGTTTGAACTGCACAGCGGAATAGTAGTAAAGAGTTATGCCCAACCAAGAAATTAAATGTGCATGTATAAGATAGATAGGTACATGTGATAAGTAAAGTGTCAGAGATATCTTGAATATATATAAAGGAGATGGTGCACTCAATATATAATAACAATATTCAAGATTGTAAATAAATATCGTGTCACGTCGTCCGTGTGACGAATGTTACATGCAACACGTCAAACTTGCTTAGAATAAATCAATATTTAAGCTCGAGAAGTTTGAGTCACATGCATACGTGAGAACACACTAAACCCGGATGATTAAGATTAACTGTGAATAGCAAACGGGTTAGTCGGATGAGATAGATAGATATAGCAAATAATGTAAGTGCGGTATGTAAATGAGAAAGGCAATTTATAGAGGTTCGGAAGTGGCGTAATCTTCCTAGTCCACTTTTCTCCTTTCACGTCTAGGAGAAATTCACTATTTTCCACACACAGTTACAATAGTGAACAAGTGCTACACAGGCACTTCTTCCGGATGTCTTGCACACAGCTACACCCTGCTCCGAGTGTCTCGCACACAGCTACACTCAACTCCGAGTATTTCGCACACAGCTATACTCAACGCCAACTAAGTGTCTTGCACACAGCTACACTTAGCAACTACGAGTGTTTTGCACACAGCTACACTCACTAGAGTATTTTGCACACAGCTATACTCTTTCTACAATTTACAAATACAAGGATTTGTATTTCTCTCTCCAACTAAATTTGAGACTATTCAGACTAAGTCTCTTAGAATATTTTGAGCACTAGCACTTTTGAGCTTTATCTCTTGATCTATCTTGTTCACTTGTATCTCTTTCTTCTGTCTTCAAGTCTTCATGGCTTTTTATAGTCAATCAAATATATCCGTTGGAGTAGGATAATTTGATATTTAAAATTTGAATCTTCATAGCTTGATATTTTGTTGACAGTAGTAGATCTTCAATCTTGATTTGATTTGTCAACTTGCCTGACAAAATAATATTTTATCACAACTTTGATTTTCTAGTTGTTTCTTAAAATATTATTTTAATTGTCAATTTGAATATCCAACGAATCTTTGAAATAAATTCATTTGATAGAATTTATTTCTAGGATAAGTTTTTATATTCATGCCTTCATAAATATTTTTCCGTTCTGATCAAATGTCTTTCAGGCAATTTTAGAGTCTCGTGGCATGTGGGTAGACTAAGAATAAATTCCTTCGAATTTATCCAATTTCTGATCATCTTGCTCTTTTGCCACATTGTGCTCCTTTGACTTGAACATCGTGCTCTTTTGACAGCATTGTGCTCCTTTCAGATTTGGTCACATTGTGCTTCTTTTGACACATCATGCTCCTCAGCACACATTGTGCTCCTTCGAAAATCTGCTTTATAAAAAATAGATCCTTGGGGGGGAATCAATCTCGGGTGTGATCGTTTAGAATAAGGACCTCTACCATTTCGCCGTTAGGCTCATCCAATCATTCCTTGCAGCGCCATTTCTTTATGCTTTTTTCACGGATGAATACTCGTAGGACCAAAATTAATTTCCCAAATTAATTTTGTTCTTCCTATGGTAGATTCCTTTTGATTTCAATATTATGATTTATGATGCTTGTACTAACAGACCTAAAAACTAGGGGATCTAAAGTACATTTGGCTCATCAAAACTTACAAAAATATTCCTATCATAATCAAATTGGCCCAATCATCAATCTCAACATTAGCCCAATAACACTTTAATCGGTCCATTTATCGGGTTCAAATTTTTGGTGTCTACAAATTGCCCCCTCGAGACTTGCCGGGACATGCCGCTTAATGTGCTTGGAGTGAGAAAGTCTCGAAATTTTAACACATGGCCATTCAAATCCATGGGAGTGTCTTATAACATCATGAGCCCAAAATTATTCATTGAGCCCAAAATTAATTTAGGATGAAGCTGGTGAAGGGATATTGGGCTCATACAACATTTATTGGCCTACGTTGGATACTCCACAACCCAAAATTGAATTAGCAATGCACTATGGTTAAATCCATCAGGACCATCTCAATATTCTAAATTTACTAAGATCAACTTCTCCTCTGGCAAAAAATTTGAGTCCTTCAAATTCTAAGCATACCAATCTCATCCGTAATCCCAGCATCACAGTTGAATTCAACCACACAACCATAATTATAATACCATTAGGATTCTAATCCAACTCTAACCTCCTTCCTCACAGTACACTATAAATATGGCCTAAACATACCCTCATCCACACCAATCAACGAGATAAAGATCAGGGAAGAACAACTCTACTTCTTAATCAGGTAATTTCTCAACTTCGTACCCTTCTTTTCCTGTATACATCTTTTATTTGCAGGAACGGGAATACAACCTGGGAGCAAGCATGAATGTAGGAAGCAATCCCACAGACTTCATAGAACAAGAAACAACGTAAAAGGTGCCAACAAGTAGAATGATCACCGGAGATTGCTGGAGCTGCCCGGTGGAATTTTTTTTGTTTTTGTTTTTTTTTTTTGAAGCCGCCAGAGTTGATGAAGACCGCCAGAGTTGATGAAGACCGCCGGACTGGCTTTTCCTCTTGTTTCTTTTGACTGTCGTAGGAGGCTCGTTGCTATGCTTCGCTGGAGAGTTTTTGTGTTTTTTTTTTTTTTTGTAGAAGTCGTCAAAAGGTAGAAATAAGGTTACCAGTCGTCGATGGCTTTGTCTTGTTCATCTTGAGGTGGAGGGAAGTTTTTAGCGATGGAGGTGTCTATGGACTGAACTTGTGGTGGATCCATATATGTACAAATGACTCTACAGGAAGTGAATGTCTTGGGTGGCCTTGTACTTCCAGTGTGGGGAACAATTCCAAGGAGGGAGGTATTGGCATAGTGAATAAACACAATCACACAGAGTTCTTCGTGGCCGGAGTTTTTTTTTTTTTGTTTTTTAGGAGGTCGCCGGACTGCTACCGTCGCTCAACTAGGACCACGCCGACGGAATCCTGACGCGGTCACCAAGGATTCTACTGCCGCTCAACTAGGACCATGCTGACGGAATCCTGATGCGATCACCAAGGATTCTACTGCCGCTCAACTAGGACCATGCCGACGGAAAGTCTTGCGCCGTTGGGTGTCGCCGAAGGTTTTTTTTTTTTTTTTTTTTTTTTTTGCAGACGTTGCCGGAGGCCGTCGGAGATCGGTCGCTGAACTGTTGATGTTCGCCGGAGGATTTTTTCTTCTTTGAATGCCGTGGGAGGTTCGTTGCTACTCTCGTCGGAGTTCCCCGCAGAACTCACCGGAGATCGTCGGAGTTGATGAAAACCGCCGGACTGCTGCGCCCTGAAGTCTTCCTTTTCTCTGTCAACGTTACTGGAGATTTCCAAGATGTCGCTGCATGCATGTTGACAGCAACAGCTTGCTGACCGTCGCGAATCGTTGGTACGGAGTTACTTTTGTTGTCGCAGGATCGCGTCACAAAGGCTTTGCTTCTCCTGACTCCCGTTGATGTCGCCACTGCAACTTAGGTAAAGCCTCATTCACGGACGCTACTCAGCCCCTCGCCGGAGACCGTTGCTGCCTTCACCGGAATTCGTCGCAGAGGGTCTGCTCCTGGAGATAGATTGAAGCTTACCACTAGAGCCTTTTTTTCATGCTACTGGGAATTGATGCTGCGAGACCAGGAACCATGTATGTTGATCTCTGCTGCCACCGCAGGTGGATCTTCGCACCACCGTCGTTGCCGACGAGAGATAAGTAAGAAAAAGGAGAAAACAGAGACCTGCAGAATGGACGATGTGGTGGTGCTTTAGGGTGGGAATGTGTCTTGAAAGTTAGGAAAAGCTTCAATATTGAATTATTGTGATGGTGACAACACAGCCTGCCACACAACACCAACACTTTACTTTTTTTCCTTTTGCTTTCTCGTGCTTTGTTTCTTTTTTTTTTTCCTTCCTGCTTTTTCCCTTGCTTTCTTTTGTTTTGTTTTTTGTTTTCCTTCTTTTCTTTCTTTCATTCTTTATTTTTATCCTTCCTTCTGTTTCGTTTTTTTTTTTTGTTTCTTTTTTACTTCGTTTTTTTTTTTTTTTTTGCAATATTCTAACAACAATTGTAATAATACCATATAATAATAATACTTTTTTTTTTGAAAGTAAAACCAATCAAATAATCAAAGCAAAAGCTGCAACACAAGGTGGTGGGATAGCCTCCCACACGGCAAGACCAGAGTGTGAACCTGTCGCCCGAGCTAACACGTGGGCTACTCGGTTCGCTGACCTCCTGACATGGCGAACTCGCACATTCCCAATGTCAGTCGCAATGTCTCTACATTGCTTAACTACCATACCAACATAAGACAAATCTAAACTTCTTGAATTAAAACCAACACATAAATTCAAACAATCTATCTCAACAAAATAAACATGTACGGGACGATTCTTCAACCAAGATAGAGCCTCCTTAAACGCGAGGGCCTCCGCAAGATAAGCGTCTATCACACCGGGCAAACTCCCAGCATATGCCGCTACAAAGTGACCATTATGATCCCTTAACACCACCCCAAACGTAGCAAAATGATCATGCAAAGCAGCATCTATATTACACTTCAAAGTACCCTCTGGTGGCGCCACCCATACATGTGACGTGATCTGTTGTGCTACTGCATTAGAACCTGCCAATCCCTCCCAAGCACTTGCCTCACTCACAACAAACTCACACATTTGAGTCAAAGTCCAGATTTTTCCATTCCACACTACATCATTCCTTACCCTGCACATAACCCAAAATCTACAAGCCATGAGAACTACTTGCGCCTCATCCTGGTGGTTTAACGCCATGTCCACAAATTGATCCAAGCTGCCGCCATTTAAAATATCAGCCACACCCCAGAGTTGTAGCGCCATTGGGCATTCGCACAAAATATGAGTAACGGTCTCTTCTCCAGCCAGAAACAACGGACATCCACCTCCAATGAACACTCTCTTTTGTTTCAAAACCTCCTTCACAGGCAGGATTCCCCTCATACACTGCCACAAAAACATCCTAACCTTCGGTGGCACCTTCAACCTCCACAACTTACGCCAAGACACATTACTCGGCTCTTGATGTACGGCATTGTGTTTAACTAAAAGCCTATACCCATGTTTCACTGTGTACTGCCCACGGAGATCATTCCTCCAGTACCACGCATCACTATGCTCCAAAGCGATCGGCGTACTCAGAACCCTTCTAACATCAGCAGGCAATAACAAATCCCTCAAAAGATCCTGGTCCCATGCACCATCAACAGTCATTAAACTCGACACCGTGGCATGTCTCAGCTCGTCATAACATTCAGTGCCCAAGCTTGGGTTCTCCACATCCGCCAACCAACTATCTCCCCAAACCAAAGTACCCCTTCCATCTCCAATCCTCCGACCTACCCCATCCCTCAACAATTGTTGTGCCGCCACAATGCTTATCCATAAATAGCTGGGATTATTGCCCAAAGGAGCCGAAAGAAAGCCCACATTAGGGAAATATTTCGCCTTTAAGATCCTGCAAACAAGAGAGTTAGGAGTGGTAAGTAAACGCTAGCCCTGCTTAGCCAACAACGCCACATTAAACTCATGCATCCTCTTGAAACCCATCCCCCCCAAGTGTTTTGGCTTTGCGAGCCGAGCCCAGCTTAACCAATGAATCCCCCTCCTATCCGACTCCCCATTCCCCCACCAAAAGCTGTTCATAGTACTCTCTATAGCATTACATGTGGCTTTAGGCAACAGAAAGACAGACATAGCGAAGATCAGCATTGATGAAGCTACACTCTTCAACAAAACCTCCTTCCCCGCTTTAGACAAAAGCGTTTTTTTGCCACGCAGAAACTCTATCCCTCACCCGCTGCTCTATATACTGGAACACTGCCCTATTATCACGCCCCAGGAAAGAAGGCAGCCCCAAGTAATTACCAAAATGCTGGACTGATTGGACACCGAAAATACCAGCTACGTAATCCCTCATCTGAGTAGCTGTATTATGACTAAACAAGATGTTGGACTTACCAGAATTGATAGCTTGGCCCGAAGCTGCGCAATAAGCTTGTAAGCAGTTCTTAACCTCCAAAGCCTCCACCCCATTCGCTCTGAAAAAAAACAGACTATCGTCCGCGAAAAATAGATGGGAGACTGATGGTGCCCCCCGTGCTACTCGGACTCCGTGTATTGATCCACTTGTGTAACACCCCAGATTTTCAAGACATTTAAAAACTTATATAATAATGGTAATATCTCATTACATCCCAAAGTATAGCATAAGTGTACGGGGTGCTATGCCACACCTGGGCTAGAGAACCCAGGTGCACAGGATGTCTAACTAATATCCTCTGAATATAAAGCATAACATGGAACGCAGGCCGAAAGGGGAAACTATTCTACTACTACGCTCCAGTTCTAGCGGCTCCAGTGCTCTAATCCTCTGTGCCTGAAAGCCAAATATATTTGTACAGCGAGAGATGCTGGTAACCCACTCCAACGCGTTGAAATACAATACATATAGATATATATATATATATATATATATATATATATATATATATATATATATATATATACGAAAACCATTTTGAGCATGAAGATACATCCTACGAACTCTAGCTTTTAAAACCGGGAATGACTCGACAGATAAGGTTGGGCACGAGTAGCAGTTATAACAAGCATATGCAGTTCACAACAGATAAGGCAGATAAGGCAAATTATAAACAATAATCATAACCCAACATAAACAGTCCCCAACATAAAACCCATAGTCACATCCCCCAAGACACTCATAACCACAACTCATCCATATCACAACACATAGCACACTTTGTTGGCGCCACAGGACCAATCGCATGCCCATACATGAGGGTCAGCGCATATAGCTCTGACACGGCCCCGCAGCACCCTGCCCCGTATCGCAACAGGGAGGGGTCGATCGCAACCGACCGATGAACTGCAGCTCATCATAGTGTTTGATCGCAACCAAACAGTGGACCGCAGCCCAAGAGAATGTCATCTGACCGCAGCCAGGAAAGAGGACGAACCGCAGCTCGTATAGAAACGTTTGATCGCAACCAAACGGTGGACCGCAGCCCAAGAGTATCAATCTGACCGCAGCCAGCTTCTGAACCGCAGCTCAGGATAACCAATCCGATCGCAACCGAATTGGGGTAACACACACACATAACACATAGCAAGCACATGCAACCCACATTACACATTGGGAAGGGGGAGAAAGCGTATAACAAAACCTATGCGTGATCCATCACATACTAAGAATAGTCCTAAGGGGGTCATACTTCTTCCACCTAGGTCAACGGGATACCAATTCAACTAGCATGCAATATAATAGACTCATAAACCTACGAACGGTACCCGAAACATCAAACTAGACATAGACACGATAAACGGAGTCCGTTGGGACACCACGGGGGTCGGGGGACATCAAACGGGGTAGTCGGGGTCCCGAAGTGGGATAAATTCCAGCGGGTAGCCGGTGGGTGGGGGGCCACCGGCCGGCTGCCCGCCGGAATGTACTATTCCGGGCAGCGGGTCGCCGGCGGGCAGCTGCCCGCCCGCCGGCTACCCGCTGCCGGGCGATGTTTCACGGCCGTGGGTTGGTGGCGGGCCCCTACCCCCCACCTACCCCCCACTGACTCTTTTCATAACT